CGCTGCGCCGCGCCGGTTCCGCGAGGTCGTCGTTCTACGAGCGAGGAGCTTAGCGGTATTCCTCTCTCTTCCGTATGCCCCGGGACCGACTCGAGAGAGCTGCCACCGATTGACCCTAGAAACTCACCGCGCGTATGACGACCCCGATGAAAAATTCGTGATTACGAGCATCGCAGCCAGAGAGAGCCTCGCAGATGCTCGTGAAAGTTGAAATAGGATATAGGAAAAAAGGGAAAGAGAAAGAGAGAGTGATGTCAGTTGGTCTCAAAAGGGAGACGAGCGTACGTCTAAAGAAAGGAGATTGCGGAATTTAAATTCTGGGGAAAAATGCATCTGGAGAGAGGAATGAGAATAGGTGTCGACATTATTCAACGTTTACACAAAAGATTGTAATATTTAAAGTGCAATGCAACTGATAAAAATGAGTAAAATATATCGCACATGAATATAGTGAAAATGTCCATGTTTTAAATAAAGATTAGAATTTTGATTCCTTTCTGAACTATCTTGACTCGGTGGTTATTTTTCATGTATATACATAGAGAGAACAGTTTTGCTGGCAAATCTAAAAATTCAGTCAGATACAGATCTGAAAATAATTTTATTGGACCATCATATAAAATTATCATATAAAACACTTAAACAAGATAATAATACTGTAAAATCTGTTTATTTTCTAGCTAATTTGGAACATTTCGTATAATTTTGACATTATTTTCAGATTTGTATCTGACCAAATTTTTAGCTTCACCAGCAAAAGTTCTTTCCGTGTAAATATCACTCATATATTTCTATAACAAATAATTTCAAAGATAGCTACCTCTGTAATTTCGATTTCTCTTTCTAATTTCCTGTAATAGCTAATATCTATCAATGTTACGGTAGCGGTTGGTAGCGGTATTCTCTGAGTTTATACCGATTCAGCTATTCAGCTGAACAAAAGTATCGTCGCTTCGTATTTCAGATAATCGTCTTAATGAAGATACCACAAGGCAACTGGTATTGTCGATTGCCACGTAACCATAACGGTCCAATCGGCGAACCGTTCCACGCCGAGTATAACCGACTACCGTGCGCTATTTTGGGTTACGACCGGCGATGAGATTCGATCGTTTATGAAATGAGTATAGTCAATGGTATCCGATACAATTTCGGAATGAACCGCGTCCCAAAGTAGAGCGAGTAAGTAAAAGTCATATTTTTCGACACAGATAAAAACCGCTCGAAATAAAATCGTTAATATATTAAAAATCCTCGCCCGACTAGTTGCCGATCTCTAAATAGAGAAATATCGTATTCCAAGCGAAAAATTTGAATTTGAATTTGAAACTTGATCGTCGGTGATCTCTAAGATGGGAAGTTGGATAAGAAACGAAAGAAACTGCCGGTACAATGATCGTCAGTTTGTCACATTTGTTTGAGAAAAATAAAATACAGACAAACGGAAGGTACGTAATTAATTTCTTGCGGCTCGAAATGAAAAGACCGATATTTATAACTATTCACGATTGAATCAATTGTTTCAATTAGAAGACTGGAAGATTATTGCAACGCTAGATCGTCGTATCATTATTCGACGACATGTCGACAGTTCAAAACACGGCGGTGAACTATCTTCCCTTGAGGTACGTCGAAATTAGAAACGTTCATTTCTTCGCGTTAGCGCAACGAAAATACACCGATGAGTTCGCAGCTTTTCACTGGAATACTGGCTATTATTTTTCCTCGTTTCCTGCGATTAATTAGGAGTCCGGAGAATCTGTTTTTACTCACTCGTTGATCATGTAACGTCGCAATATGCGTCACGCAAGATTTTTTGCCAATCGTCGACACGCATACTATCTAATATATTCATCTTCATCGTAAATCCTCATGTCAAGCTTTTTAAATGTCTGATTTGCATCCGTAAATGTTCTTCAAACGAAAAAAATGCCATTACATAAAAATTAATAATAGATGTGAAAAATTTTCTAATATTCAGCTGGACCTATGGCATTTAATTTTTAATACATTTAAGAAATTCGGATAATAATAAAAGATGGAAAACTTTTTTTGTAGTACTAATAATTTAAATATATATATATATAATATATAT